TGCCAGAGTAATGTTACAGACAGACCTAAATTATAGTCACACCTTGTCTCAGAAGATCACATGTAACATGCCCAGCAGCAATTTTCCAGGGAAATCGGTGGGGAGGATGTAGCAGAAATCCACCCCCTCCCCCTGCCAGTATACTTGTTAGTTGCCCAGGTCATAGTTCCTATGCCAGATCCAGTTGCTCCTGTCTCTTAGAAACAGCTGGTCCAAAAAAAAAAAAAAAAAAAAAAAAAAAGAGCTGGTCCACTATGATGCACATCGTATAAACCAATCCCCAATTGACAAGCCATTCTTATATAAACCCTAGACCACCTGAGATCAGGGCCTGATATTTTGCGAATGATCCCAATCAGTGCCCATTGATGTAAACCTGCCTCCAAGTCCTGGGTGTCATTTCGGTGTTACTGCTTCCTGTTGCAATAGTGTATGTTATAAGGAAATAACCAGCTGATTCAACGGACCTGATCCACACCAAATGATTTGTGTCCCTAAAGTGTCAATGCCAAAAAAAGACAAAAGTACAATAACAACAGCAATAACAAATAAAAGACAAAGGTGCAGCCAGGAAAGGTGGTACGAGTCTGGAACTCCAAACTCTTAGGAGGCTGAGGCAGGAGGATCACAAGTTGAGACCCAGCCTGGGGAGCTTAGCAACGACTCTGCCTCAAAACAAAAATTTAGTAGAGCCACACCCAAGACCCCTTCTGTCTCTTCTACCCCCCACTCCTTAAATATTTTCTGGTTAAAAAAAAAAAAAAGTTAAAATGGCTGGAGCTAGAGCTCAGTGTGAAGACCTGAGTTTAATTCCCATACTATACTGTTGATACCCAAACTACCCTAAGTTACCTTGATCCCAGATGGACAGTAAACTACTTGGGGGGGGGCAGATAATAAACTACTAGATATTGAGACAATTAGTGACAGTTGCATATGGACTTTTTTTTTTTTTTTTTTCCATTTTCCTGGTACCGGGGATCGAACTCATGACTGCCCGCTTGCAAGGCAGGCCCTTATGCCGCTGAGCTAAATCCCCAGCCCCTGCATATGGACTTTACATTAAAGGTGGTATTAGTGTTAAATCCCTGAGTTGGTATTTGTGAGATGTTCTAAGCATGTGAGAAGCTGCCAGATTGTTTAGGGTGAAGTGTTATGTTGATCAGAAGAGTGTACATACTTGAGAATGAACAACATAGTAAAATGTTAATATGGTGCATCTATCAATCTGTGTGTGTGCACTGGGTTCATAGCTTCTCTAAGAGGTTTGAAAAATCAGTAAACTGAGGACAAACTCACTTAGATAACATGAATCTTTTCACGATCTTACAGAAATATGCTATAGAAATGACTACCTTGGGGCTGGGGATTTAGCTCAGCGGCATAAGCGCCTGCCTTGTAAGCAGGCAGTCAAAAAAAAAAAAAAAAAAAAAAAGAAATGACTACCTTGCCTACCTATGAATTGAGTCAGTTCTGTAATGTTATATGTGCCCCCAAAAGTGTGTTGGAAACAATCCTAATGCAAATCTTGGGAGGTGATGTTAATGAAGTGTTAAATCCAATCTGTCATGACTGGACTCATGGGTTATAAAAAGGCTTGAGGTCTCAAGTTCATGATCTTACTTTCTTGCTGTTTTTTTTTTTTCTGAGATGGATTCTTTTAGTTTAGGCTGGCCTTGAACTTGAGGCAATCCTGCTTCAGCCTCCTGAGTGCTGATTACAGGCTTGCGCCATCTTACCCGGCTCTTGCCCACCTTTTGTCCTTCTGCCTGGGATACAAGGCCCTTGCTAGATGTCAGCCATTCTTAGCCTCCTCAATTGTGAGCCAATAAATTTTCCTTTTTATCGGTACCGGGGATCGAACTCACGACTGCCTGCTTGCAAGGCAGGCGCTTATGCCGCTGAGCTAAATCTCCAGCCCCGAGCCAATAAATTTTAAAAATGTATCAAATCAAGTATCTGGGGTTAGAGCAGCACAAAATGGGCCAAGATAGGATTCCTATTTATTTTAGTCACTCCAATTCTGTTTGCTGTCCAGGAAAACCTTGAGCTATTTTTTGAATTCATTTCTTTGTGGATTCCTCTTCTGGGAACTTTTGCTGAGTACAGTGAGTGCTGAGTCCTAAGTACTCCTGAGGTTGAGGCAGGAAGATCACTTATACCCTAATTTTGAGAATAAGGTAGACAACACAGGGAATTCCCCTCCTCCCATCAAAATTTCAAAAAAATCCACCTTTAATCAGTTAACTTTGCTAGATCTGATATAGACTGTCCCCCTACCACATACTATGGCAGATGAGGGTATGATTTATATATCAACTTAAAACAGGAGCTTGAATCTCTGTAATGGAGAGAGCAAGTGATCCAGATATTTATACAGTGGGAACAATTTGGCAAGATTTAGTGTTTGTGTTTATGTACTAAGCAAAGTAATAGGTTCTAGGAAACAGCACTTAAAAGTTGTTTCTGGCTTTGTAAAGCTTATGTTCTAGTGGGGGGAGAATAAATTAATCAATACTAAATGCTACCACATTTCCCTGAAAATAACATTAACTGGAAAATAAGTTCTAGCATGATTTTTCAGGATGCTCCTAATGTAAATCCTACCCCGAAAGTAACCCTGTTAAGGTGGTCGGCCGGATGGATGCATTTGGTATGTCTGCTGCAACACAATGAATGGAGTAAATTAATACTGATACATCCGTTAATATTTGAAAATACTTGTATTAGTTAGGTGTTGGCACATGCCTGTAATCCCAGCATTCGGGAGGTTGAGGCAGGAGGATTGCCAAGAGTTAGAGACCAGCCTGAACCATATAGTGAAACTGTGCCTCAAAAAAGACTAAAAACCAACACCACTACCCCCCTAAAAAAAAAAAACCCACCTGTGCCTTTTAGTTAAAACACTTAGTAAACAGATGAACTCAAGACTGTCAACCAATCGGGAGTCAAGATACAACGCACAAATAGTGTACACACTTGCTAATGAACAGATGTGGCTATGTCTTTTTCTTTTTTCTGGTACTTGGGATTGAACTCACAACCTTGTGCTTACCAGGCAGGCACTTACACCACTGAGCTAAATCCCTAGTGTGGCTATGTCTAATATGAATCTTTTTGTGTGGTAATGCATGTACTACTTAATGCACTTGTGGAATTGTGAAATCAATGTTTCCTGGATTTTGATGCCTGCAGTTTGTTGCTTATATGGACCCTTTTTTTTTTTTTTTTTTTTTTTTTTTTTGGCGGCGGGAATTAAACTTATGACTTTGTGCTTCCAGGCAGGTGCTTAAGCCACTGAGCTAAATCCTCAACCCCTGGACCATAATTCTTAACCATCAGTTTTGTTGCCACTCCTTTTCCTTAAGTCTTCAACTCAGACTTGATTTAACAGAAACTTTGCAAGGACTAGTCTGTGAAACACTGTGATTTGAAGAACTAATGGGATAAAATTACTGAAAATTGTGTAGCCAGTGCAGTAGGAACAGTCTACATGGAAGAACTGTTTTTTTTTTAAGACATGCTCATTTAAGGAGCACTCTACTACTGGACATGATGTTGGGGCCAGTAGTTCTATAGGAAATGAAATTGCAAGAAATTAAGGATGGGGGCTGGGGATTTAGTTCAGTGGCATACGCGCCTGTCTTGTAAGCGTGCAGTCTTGAGTTCAATCCCTGGTACTGATAAAAAAAAAAAACAAGGATGGAATTTAGGGTTGGTTTTGGTTACGATGTTTCAGAGGATGACTAACTTAAATAAATGTAGATTTTTTGCACGAGTAAATGAAGGCTCTTGTACAATAAAAAGATGCCCTTTGAAAATAATCCTGTGTTTTGGGGAATGGTACTGGGGATCAAATTCATGACCTAGTGCTTGCCAGGCAGGTGCTGGACTGATGAGCTATCCCCAGCCCTTATAATTCTGTCTTTTGGAGCATGAAATACAAGAACCAATTTTATTTTCAGAGAAATGTGGTAAAGCACATATACACACCCCTAAACAGGAGGCAACAGGAAATGACCTTTGACCTAGGAAGGGTTATTTAACATTTCATAACTTGTTAAAAAACTGAGGTTAAAAAAAACCCTTGAGGTCAGGGACAGGGTATAGCTCAGCAGTCCAGCACCTGCCTGGCAAGAGGGAGGTTGTGAGTCTAATTGCAGGTACCAAATAAATAAGCAAATAAAATGTATTTAGGTAATTTGTCACATAAAGAAGCAAGGAACTGGGAATTTAGCTCAGTGGCAAAATGCCTGCCTGCCAACCCCTAGTCCAAAAAAAAAAAAAAAAAAAAACAAAACAAAATCCGAAAATAAAAAAGGATAGTGCATGCCTGCAATCCCAGCATTTAGAAGACTGAGGCAGGAGGATCACTATTTGAGGCCAGTCTGGGCTATATAGCAAGACCTTCTCAAAAAATAAAAACAGCTGAGGTTGAGCCAAGTACCTATCTTGGGAAGACAATTTTGCCATAGACCAAGGCCACAAGATAAAAATGGAAGAGGCAGATGCAGTGAGGGGCTAGATATATGAAGCCTTGGGGGAGAGAAAAAAATCTCATTGTTTTGCAAAAAAAAAAAAAAAAAAAAAAAAATCGAGGTGGCAAGTTATAAAGCGGGAAGTATGGCCTGCAGTGGTGGCAATGCCTGTAATCCCAGCACTCAGGAGACTGAGGCAGGACTACTGCTGAGTTCAAAACCAGCCTGGACTACATTAGTGAATTCAAGGCCAGTCTGCACTACATAGTGAGACTTTGTCTCAAAACAAACAAACAAACAAACAAAAAAAACCGGTGGAAGTATTAATGCGAATGGTAATCTAGGTGGAAACATACTACATGTACTTTGCTAAAAATTTGTTGACTGGTGGCTTCTGTTTGCATACCTATAAGCTTACTGTTGTTTTGGAGCTAAAAAGATCAAGAGAAGTAGGTTGGTGTTAGAGGAAAATGTGATTACTTCTGGGATCTCATCAAACAACAAAAGGAGACTTTAAAGCAGTTGACTCTGCCCAAAAGGTATGGGTATTTTACTGGACAAGGGCTGAAGCAAAACACAAAGCAAGGTTAGGTTGGAATTCTGTGCTTGCTTCTTCTGAAGCACAGGGTTTACATCTTTCAGGTTTCAGCATCTCTAGGCAGTAGGATTTCTCAAGACCCATAATTGTTAGCTGATTCCTTATAGTGAAACTCACACTAAATAATGCCCTACTGACTATTAGCTTCATAGTAGGTAAGTGACATAGTGGATATTCACTTGTATCCACTGCACACCTTGGGCAGTTAGGGCTTCCTGCAGCTTTTATCCCTTTTTTCTAAAACAATTCAAAATGCTACTCAGAGGATGCTTGGGGTTCCTTGGATACTGAGAATAAACGTGGACTAATATATTCTGCTTCTCAATTGGGGTGCCCTGGGCAATCTTGGAGGATGTTTTTAGCAGCATACTGCTTGGAGCACAGTAGAAGAATTTAGTTGCAAAGATCCAACCAGAAATGCTAAGTATATTCTAACACAACACACACAAGACAATCCTTCATAATTAAGAATTATTGTTCAATTTTTCCATCAAATGTTCATGTGGCTAAAAATGAGCCTAGGTTTTATTTTTCACATAAATCCTGAGACATTTTCATATGGGCATTAATAAGCAGTGAATTTTCCAGGCATGTCATTACCATATGTGAACTACTTTCTTCATAGAGCATTAAGCTCAGTTCTTAGTTGCCCTTAAAAAGTAGGAATTGATTTCTAAATGCCATTATAAGACATTAAAAGATTTATCAGTCTAAGCCCATCTTCTCAAGTGTCCATGAAATATGAAGTCTACAGGGAGACTTGAGAAATAGTATTTCATGGGATATAATGATGTGGTCACCTTTCTAACTTAAGGCATCAACACTATTTGAGAAAACTGGGAGAAGGGAATAACTCTCCATAACAAATAGTTATGTACTACAAAAAACATGTTCTAATGAGAATAAAAATTTTTAAAGAAAAATTTAGGGCAAGCCAAGGAATCAAGGTTCTTGAGTCACTGAATTGTATTTTGGGACTACTAATTTTCCTTAACTGAAGTCAGTTCTGCTTTGTTTTTGTTGTAGCTGAAAACAGCATATAAATGGCAGCCTTGGTTTTCATTGTTAATAGAAAATCTTATAACCAGATTTCTTTCTTTTTTTTGAGACAGGGTCTCTCTGTGTAATCGAGGCTAGCCTTGCACAGCCATCTTCCTGCTTCAACTTCCCAAGTGCTAGGACTACAGACATGCACCACCACTTCCGGCCTCGGAACCAGATTTGCCTATAGTAGCACATTGTACTAGTCCTTCTAAATCTTAAAATTTGCATTTTTAGTCATTATTACTAAATTCCTCCCATCCTTGGGGAAATGTAAGAGGTATACATTTAATCCCTCAAACTAATTGCCTCACCCCTCATAAACAGAAGAGATTGAGGTCTTTTCATGTTTATTTAAAAAAAAAAAAAATCCAGAATGGATCAAAAACAATCAAGGTGCCAGACACAGGCCAACAGGTAGCTAAAAAAGTATGCCTTAAGAATATCAGGGACTTCATCAAGGCCTTGTTTTAAAAGCTATACCTAACAAACAGCTTAATTTTCTATTGACTTAGCTTCTTTTGCCCCGTCTATCTGGCATAGGTAGCTGGCTTGTCTGCAAGGCCTTAGTTGAAGGACCCCATGTAAATAAGTTCATTCTTTGTAGCAGTCTTCTGGGACAAGAAAGATCTTCATTCCCATATAGCCTCCCTTCCAAATTCATGGTTCATCTCTTTCATTAAATGTGAGATCATTTCACCCTTCAAAAATATGGCTCCTCCAGCATAAACCAATGCCAAGTCTTTATAATGATCAGTAATAAATTGTCCTATTCCCCTTTTACATGCAACTGAAAAATGACAGGCTAGGACCAGAACACTGTGAACTCTGCTATTAGAATTATCCATTAAATGATCATTCACTAATAGTCACTACATTTACATATTAAGGAAATTATATATAGAATACTGCAAAAACACAGTAAAGATTGTTTGCCCATTTCTGCTCAGGAAGTTCTGCTACTCCCAAGCTTCATACTATGTTGTCCTTTTGACTCCAAAATGTATTGCTATTATTGTTTCTCTTCCTTTTGATCTTCCTTTTGATCCCCAGTGCCAGAACTTCCAGAACCTTCTCTTTCAGATGCCATCTGTTAAAACATTTGAGAAGCACACACTTCAATATTAAGCAATGGTCTGCTCTCTGATTAACACCAAAAACATAGAAGCAATGTATACCTAATCCTGTGTCCTTTTTTATTTCACTCCTTGGCCCTACAGCATTGATGTTTCCTGGGATGGCTTCTCTCTCTCTCTCTTTTTTTTTTTTTTTGTCTTTTTGAGACAGGATCTCACTATGCAGTTCAGGCTGGCCTTGAGCTCACTTTGTAGCCCAGGCTGGTCTCAAATTTGCAGTGATCCTCCTGCCTCAGCCTCCGAGTGCTGGGATTACAGGCGTGAGCCACCATGCCCAGCTCAAGGGATGGCTTCTCTTTTGAACACACTTCCCATGCTCAAAGTAGTCAAGAAAGCATGATGGTATTTCTAACTCTTAATAATTTCTCAATTCCATATAATTATGGAAAGAGCAGGAGCCACTAGTGACATTAATTAGGAGCAGTTACAACAAAAAATCAAATTAGGACCAACCCACCCTTCAGCCCTGTACCTTTTTATATGCCATTTCAAAGAGCTTCAGTGATGCCTGTTGGAGAGAGGAGGCTGCCTGTCTGATGTTTTCTCCTGTTTCACTGTCTTTTCGAGCCAGGAGCTCCCTCATTTTGGAAATCTCTTCCTTTAGCTTGTTACACTTAAAACAAAACAAAAATTTCCATGTTTCCAATTCTATCTCATTACATGCAGCAATAATATTCAGAATGTTTTACAACCTGAATCCTTATGTCAAGATTCACATAAAAATGAATTTCAGTTTTCAATTTCCTGAGTTGAATTAAAACTCACCTCATCAGCAGGCAGTTGGTCCTTGAACTCTTCCATCTTTGTTTCAGTGTCATGAATTATTCCTTCAGCCATATTAACTGCTTCAACTCGTTCCTTAGAAAAATTAGAAGTTTAATATAAGTGACTGCAATTAATCAGTTTGCTGAATGTTCATGCTGAGCAAGACCATGAGCTATCTTTTGTACAAAGTAAAATTAGTGAAAGTGAGAAATCACTGGTTTGAGAAAGTATGGGAGAACTTTGAGATGTTGTCTGTAAACATGTGAAGACTAAACAAAAACATTTCATGCCAGGTGCTGTGTTGCACTGGAAGCTAGAGCAGAAAGATCATTTGAGCCCAGGACAGCCTCACCAACATGAATCAGTCTTGGCAAAGAAAAAAAGACATTCCACACATAAGCAAAAGGGCAAAAAAGGTAGATAGGAAGAAAATATGAAGAAAGTATCACATCCAAATTCCAACTTCATGTCCCAACTTTGCTAAGATTACAAAACTAAGAGGCAAAATTACCTTCTTTCGCCGGTCTTCCTCAGCATATTTCTCTGCATTTTTAACCATATTTTCAATATCATCTTTGCTTAAACCACCAGAAGACTGGATTACAACTGTAATAAAAAATGATTATCAACTGAGTTTCCTGTCTATTGAAACTTCAATCCAGATACTTTTTGTCTGTGTGGTTTTCTGAACCCTACACAAACATTACTTATAGAAAGCAAATCTGGTAACTGAAAAGAGGCAAAGAGAAACCTTCCCCTCAGAATGGACATACCAGAAAAATGATCTCTTTCCCAACAGGGGTCTTGCCTTAATCTTACAGTCTAATGAATGAAGACTTACTCTGCTGCTCACGTCCTGTACCCTTATCTTTAGCAGAAACATGTACAATCCCATTGGCATCAATGTCAAATGTAACTTCAATCTGAGGTACTCCACGAGGAGCTGGGGGGATGCCAACCTAAAATAAATAAGTGAACAAATATCCTCAGTATGCTCTTGTCAGAGAGGCCCAATGCTATTACTATCAAGTTGATGTGGTCAAGTAAACAAACCACTTGTTTCCTAGGGAGAATAAGTGGTATTTTCACATAATGTACAAAAACACAAGTTTATAAACTTACAAGTGAGGGTAGTAAATTCACTGCTCTCTGAAATCAACAGGGACTCTACAATGACCATGATGTCTGTAAGTCCCCAAAGACAGCGAAAGCACCCCACTATAGTTCTTTTTTGGAGAGGGTACTAGGAATCAAACTCAGGACCTTGCGCTTGCCAAGTAGACCCCTGCCCTGCTGAGCTACATCCCTGGCCTCCCCTACTACAGCTCTTAACAGCAACAGCCATCAAGCAGTGCTGATGAGAAGTACCAAAATCAGGGCTGGGGATTTAGCTCAGTGGCATATGTGCCTGCCTGGCAAGTGCAAAGCTGTAAGTTTGATTCCCCAGTACAAAACAAAACAAAACCTCAAATGATTAATCAGAAGAAGAAAAGAGTTAGCATTGTTCTAAGCATTTAGAAATTTTTTGAAATTCTTAAAGCAAGGCATAAGCAAGCTTACTAAAGTGAAGAATTCACCTGCATAATTTCCTTGGAGTAACATGGTACGTATAATATGTATACCAGCAATTTATAGGCACTGGAATACTGTCTAATGAAGAGCATGTGGAACAATATTAAAGTTCACAACACCTACCAAAGTAAACTGTCCAAGAAGCTTGTTGTCTCCAGCCATCTCTCTCTCACCCTGACACACTTTAATCTCCACTTGAGTCTGTCCATCAGCAGCAGTAGAAAATACCTGAAGAGAAAAAAAAACAAAAAACAAAAAACTTCCTGTGTTGGCAATCTGATTAAAACTGTTCTCCTTATAAAGAAGAACAAATCAGAAAAACATTCAGATTGTAACACTGGAAGGGTCCTAATATATGTTATGCTCAAAACAAAGGCTTATGTCTTTAAAGGGACTAGGAATAGGATTAGTATAGCAAATGCACAAAATAGCTGTTGTTTCAACAAAGCAAATGCTCTGTACAAAGGTGCAACATACGCACAAAAGGGACCAAGACAAGGAACCAAAATGTTGAAGCACAGTAATCTGGGAAAGCAAGGATCAGTGGCAGATGTATCTTGTGCTCAGTCACAGAAGTCATCACATAATTTTTTTTTCAGAATGATGTGTTGACAAATACATCATTGCACAAACACAACTGCAGCTAATATTCAAAAAAATGTCAAGACTAAAAAGGTCATTAAATTCCTAATCTAAGACCAAACCATGCCCAAACAGCCCTGCTTAGTATCTTAGCCCTATACAACCTCATGATGTCCCAGAAGATTGGCACAGTCCCATGGTTTCAGCCAAGACTGCAGTAAAACTGGTACCAAATAATGAGACTTTTTAGAAGCCAAGACTATTCATGTCTTCTCTAAAATCATCACTGCAGACATAAGAACTCTTCTAGGAACAACAAGAAAAGACAAGTTTCTCAACCAGCTGTAGTAGTACATGCCTGTAATCCCAGCACTGGAGAGACTGAGGTAGGAAGATTGCTTTGAGTTCAGGATCAGCCTGTGCTACATCTACATAGTGAGTTCAAGGCTAGCCTAAACTACACAGCAAGACCCTGTTTCCAAAAATCAAAAAATCTGACAAGATTCTCACCCACCAAGAGTCAACAAGTGTAGTCTACAAACATAAAGTAACTCTGTTTTTGAGAAAAGGTCTCACTATGTAGTTCAGGCTGACTTAGAATTCGAGGTTATCCTTCTGTCTTTCTTAGTCTCTTGTGTGCTAGGATTACAGCATGGGCCATAGCTGGTGGAAGTGACTTTTTAATGAGAGGCAGAAAGTGCCAACATGTCTGCAATCACACCTCTTGCAGACCCTAATACTTCTGTGATGAGCTTGGAAAGAATGGTACTCTTACCTGGCTCTTCTTGGTTGGAATAGTGGTATTCCTGTTAATAAGTTTGGTAAAGACACCTCCCAGAGTCTCAATACCCAGGGACAGAGGAGTGACATCCAGGAGCAGCACATCTGTGACATCACCAGCCAACACACCTCCCTGAATTGCAGCTCCAATGGCTACAGCTTCATCAGGATTGACAGCTTTACTTGGAGCTCGGCCAAAAAGATCCTGTACAGTCTGCTGAACCTGAGTATTAAGTAGAAAGAACTTGTTACCCAGCACTTAGGATCAAACTCACAACCGTGCACTTGCAAGGCAGGCACTTATGCTGCTGAGCTAAATCCCTAGCCCCACAGTCGAATTCTTACTGATCTAAAAACACATGCTCTAATCACTGCCTTTTTAAATTTGGAAAGCATTTGTTTCAGTTTTCTTACCTGTTTTTCCACACATTAAATTGTTTTAAATAGGAAGACTTACAAAGGCCTTTTAAATGAGGTAGCAGAAGTAATTCTGTACTACTGGGCTACCATAAAGTATTTTCTTCCATCCTATTTATTAGTGCTAACCTACTAGTTAGCATCCTGGATAATTTGTTAACATAATTTGTCCTCTTGATCCAGAGCCTTTTATCATGGGTTTATTCTGTACTCATTTTCCCAAATATTTTAATTGAACAACTAAAAATATTAAGGCAGCTCACTCAGGAACACGATAATTCTATTCAGGCTGCCAAGAACTGCATCTTCAATAAGTCTGTGCTCAGTCATTAAGTTTTCCACACTTCTGTACTTTGAGAATGATGTGTTGAATAAAATGCATCACTGCACAAATCTTTATTGAAGATAGGCAAAAAGAAATCACAGGAACTAGGCTGTGTTTGTACAGAGATTTTACATTATCTCTGACCTCATGCTTTGTTTCCATTCCTAAAATTTTACAACATTGAGTTCAGGATTCTTTCTGCTAATGCCTCTACAGAGGCTTATGTTTTTTGCTTTGCATCGGGATCGAACTCACAACCTCGCGCTTTTCAGGCAGGCACTTATGCCACTGAGCTAAATTCCTGGCTTCTGCTAATGCCTTTAAAGATACTGTGACCATCCTTAACCCTTTTTCTTATACCGTTTAACTAAAAAAATTAAAAACTAGTGAGAACAGAATCTCACCATCCTTTTAAGTCACTCTTGAAGAATGGGCCAAATATTTATCCACATAAGCTAACTTCCCTAAGAATACATTGTGTATTGGTTTTTTTTCCTCCCTGACAAGAATTCTGTCAAGAGCCAGGGATATAGCTCAGTGACATGGCATCTGCCTGGCAAGCATGAATCTGGGAGTTTGATTCCTGGTACACACAAAAAAAACCTGTCAAGTCCTTACCTTGGGCATCCTCGTCATGCCACCAACAAGAATCACTTCCCCTATGTCACTCTTGCTGACTTCTGCATCCTGCATAGCTTTCTGGCATGGAGCAATAGTCCTCTTGATTAGATCAGTGACAATTCCCTCAAACTGAGCACGGGTCAGCTTCATATTCAAATGTTTGGGCCCAGAAGCATCCATTGTAAGATATGGCAAGTTGATGTCAGTCTGCAAAAGAAATATTTGAATGCATGTGAGTGGAGAGACCAACAACAGTTAAGCCGGGTGTGGTGGCATATGCCTGTAAGCCCTGCACTTGAGAAGCTGAGGCAGGAGGACCGTTGTGAGTTCAAGACAGCCTGAACTGCATAGTGGACTTTGTGTCCAAGACAAAAACAAAAACAACCCACCAAACAACAAAAACAGTGGTTATAAAGTCAACAGACATTAACCACTTATCAGTTCAATGATTTCAATACAGGATGACCATAACCTGCATTTTCAAATTTTTATAAAATAATAGAACAGGAAATATACAAGTGACAATTTTATGAATACAAAAATGACTGACTGAGGGGCTGGGGATTTAGCTCAGCAACATAAGAGCCTGCCTTGCAAGCAGGCAGTTGTGAGTTCAATTCCCGGGACCAATAAAAAGGAAAAAGACCAAAAAAAACCCCCAAAAAACAAACAAACAAACCACCCCCCCCACACACATACATACATACATACAAAAAATTGACTGACTGAAATGACACCTAAGTAATGCTTGATAGTGAGTATGTAAACAGGTGTTGCCTAAGTGATGCTGGCAGATTATCTTATTTTATTTTTTTATTTAAAAAAATTTTTTGTACTGGGGATTGAACTCACGACAGCACATTTGCAAACTTGGCGCTTATGCTGCTGAGCTAAATCCCAAACCCTGGGAGTAGAGTATTAAAGGGTTAATAATAATGGAGTAGAAAAGAGTGGGGAAGATCCTTATTCAGGAACTATTTTAGTATTAATACTAAGAATTTCACTACCGTTTTCTTTCACCAAGTTCAAAAAATACCCCATGTACATGAAGAAAATATTTTAAAATATGCTCTCAATCAAAAATTCATTAACAGTTCTAGGCTTTATCTGTTCCAGGAATTTAACAGACTTAAGAAAGCTACAGAAGTACTGTCTGTGCTTATTAGATGTGCAGAAACTAGTATTACTATTATATCTACAGAAAGTTATTGGCTCCACCATGCAACATTTGGCATTTAATAAATACCAAATCCTGATATGACGTTGGGATCTGGTAATGTGTGACTTGAGAATATTAGACAATTCCCAAAGTATCCTTGTTACATTCTTTTTTTTTAATCAGCAACAGGGATTGAACTCAGGACTTCACACTTGCAACGCAGGCACTTATGCCACTGAGCTAAATCCCCACCCAGTATCCTTGTTGTAAAAAATACCTGTCAGATTCCCTGTGATTATAAACCTAATTCTTTTTATCAGTTGTTACACCAATAGTAATTTATATTTTTGCTGTATACCTCCCTAAAAAATTATTAATCTAGCAATCAAAATTCCAACAGGGAAGGTACAAACACTACTTATTTTGTAGCTAAGAAAACACAGATGTTGAACAGTTCCTAAGACCACACAGATCAGCTGGGTGTGGTGGCACATGCCTAGAATCCTAGTACTCAAGAGGCTGAGGCTGGAGGATCATTGTAAGTTCAAGATCGGCCTGGGCTACAAAGTGAACACATGGCCAGCCTGAACTTGAACTGCGTAAAGAAACCCTGTATCAAAAAGACCAAAAAAAAAAAAAACCCCAAAACCAAAAACCCAGCAAACAACACAGATCATTAAGTGCTGAAATAAGGAACCCTAGTGATCTGCCTGCAGAAGTATCTGTTTCTCAGTGCTAAGAATTGAAACTGGGATTTCACGCATACTACCGATGAGCTACCTACCTCCAGCCCCTGAGAAATAACATACTTAACCCCTATTCTGTATCTCTTCTGGTTTGACAAGTATTAAATGTTCACCTTCCCAAACCTCATGTTTCAAACTGGTGACTGAAATTATTAAATGAACAGCCATGTCAAGAGATTCACAAAGAAGTATATTCAATTAAGCGAAGGTAAGTATTCTAAGCTAGTAATTCCAATTCTATGCATTTCCTAGACTTGTTTGGTACACAGGATTGCACTCAGGGCCTTGTACATGCTAAGTAAACTTTCTGCCTCTGAGCTGTATCTCTAGCCCTCGACTAAGTTTTTAAATCAGCACTTTAGGGTAGGGGTATATAGTTCAACATGAAGCCCAAGTTGATCCCCAGCACCTCGACTAAGTATTTTTTTTGAGTGCTGGAAATCAATCTAAGGGCCTTGCACATATTGGTTTATACACTATTACTATTACTACTGTTTATACACGCAAGCCTGTCATTCAAATCTCACCATCTGACTCTAGTATCAAAACCTCTGATTTTGGTGTTTGAAAATGAACTGATAACTACATCACTCTAACTCTCATGGCACAGGTTCTTACTAAACAAGAAAATTAAAAGGAATAGGCCATTCAAATAAACTCAGGCTAAAAATAAAATACTCATCAAGGCTGCTGGGAGTTTTCAACATCTCACCTGCACAGATGAAGAGAGTTCACATTTGGCCTTCTCAGCTGCTTCCCGCACCCTTTGAAGTGCCATGTTGTCTTTGGTCAAATCAACCCCTGTCTACAAAGTAAAGAGACAATACCGGTGATCAGCCAGGTGATGAGTACTACTTAAACTGCAGTAACAAGGCAGAATACAAAATAGAGCTACACTTTCATAAGCAATTATCAGCTACACTGTATTACTCTTGAAAGTCTATAGGGGCCAAAAAGGGGAAAAAAAAAAAAAAGAAAAGGAAGAAAAAAAAAATGTATAGGGGAGCCAGGGGTGTACTTGGGAGGCTGAGAAAGGAGGACTGATGTGAATTTGAGGCTAGCCTACACTACACAGTTGAGTTCAAAGCCAGCCAGAATAGAGTGATACCCTGTCTCAAAACTATTTCATAACCTATTTTAAAAACATATTTATCTGCTTGGAGTCAGACAACTGAACTGACAGCTCTTTCCAGTTGTAAAGTTCTAATTAAAAGTGAGAAGAATTCCTAAAATTGCCTTTCCAATATTGTACACTGAGTGCCATATATTTCAAATGTTTATTCCCAATCTAAAGCTACCAAAACCAACGCAGTTCACTCATCAACCTATAATTCAATTTATTTTACTTTCAATTAAGAACAAAGTTTTGAAACCAAACAATGATCTGAACAAAAATCATCAACATCCCAATTCCTACACATTTAACCACAATGATTACTAACCTCTCTCTTGAACTCCTTCACAATGTGTCGTAACAAGGCTTGGTCAAAGTCTTCACCACCTAAGAAGGTGTCTCCATTGGTAGATTTCACTTCAAATACTCCTTTCTGAATTTCCAGGATAGAAATATCAAAAGTTCCACCACCTAAATCATATACAGCAATGCTAAAAGCAAAAATAAATAAATAAATACATACACACATACATAAAGCACCTTACGCATATATAAAGCACCTTAGTGAAAACCCATCACAAGGGGATGAATTTCAATAACCAAAAGAGTACTTACCAATTTTTCAAAGGTTCAATTAAAAAATCTGTACCTGCTTAAGTGATGTATTTGTTAATAAATAGCCCTAACAGGTAACACACGTATGTACACAGACCTGAAATTAATTTGGTTCTTAAAACTGACAACATTCAACTATGTTTTGAAGGAATATTTGCCAATATGTGTAGCAACAGAACCAACGTCTCAAAGTACATGATGGGATGATCTTAAATGTAGTCTTTTTTGAGGGGGGGCCGTGGGGCACAGCAACAGCAGTATTGGGGATTGAATCCAGGGCCTTTACACTGACATCCCCAGTTCTTTTCTACTTCAAGACAGAATTAAAATACTATATATATATACATATATATACACACATACATCTATATGAACAATATAAAACAGGGTGTCACTAAACAGGCTCAACTTGCAATTCATCTGCTTTATCCTTCCAGACTGCTGGTTTACTACAAGCATGACTGAAAATGTCCTGAAGAAGGTAAAGAACATGTATTTTTATTTAGTGTCTAGAACTTTTGGAAGGGCAGGGGTGAGGTGATGGAACCAGGAACTGAACTCAGGACCTTGCACTTGCCAGGCAGGTGCTGTGCTATATCCTTGGTCCTAGAACATATATTTATAATATGAGTAGAAAGCCCAATCAGTACCATATAAAAATGACTCAGAATAAATCTCTGGAAAAAAAATCTCAGAGTTGCATGAACTTATTTTGACACATTCATTTAGAACTTTCTGTACAAACTTACATTTTGTCTTCAGATTTATCCAGACCATAGGCCAGAGCAGCAGCTGTTGGTTCATTAATCACCCGAAGCACATTCAGTCCAGATATCTGGCCAGCATCCTTAGTAGCCTAGAGCAAAGACAAAAGCATTTTCACCTTTATGTCTCAGGTACCCTCCCCCCATACTGGGAATTGAACTCAGAACCTCAAGCTTGCCAGGCAAGCGCTGTGCTGTTGAGCTACATCCCTGGTATACCACCATTTCTTATTTTCTAAGGAAGATAATGACCTCACCTGTCTCTGTGAGTCATTGAAATAAGCAGGGACTGTGATCACAGCATTTTTTGCAGTATGTCCCAAGTAATTTTCTGGAAAAGAATCAAGAATGCAATTCAATTACAGTATTATACTAGATAAAATAGGAAACATACAACTTGGGTATCCTCTTAAAAGTGTCATAGAAATAACCATTAGTTTCTTAGCAAGTAACACATAGAAACCTTATAGAAAAACATTCTAACTAAAGACACTTTTTCAAAAGTCAGTATCTCACCTTCTAACATTTTGGTGAAGATTCACAACAACCTTTAGACTACAGCCACTAGTTTAATGGAAGTTCTAAGTTTTGCTTAATATGGATAAAGGTTTAATGTGCAGGCGTCTGCCTTTCAATATAGAACATTACCCCATATTGCAAAAAATAAACAAGCCACGCACCATTAAGAAAATCTGAAGTTATGCAATCTGCATGTTAAATATGAAAACTAACAAACTTCTTATTCCTAGAGTAACTGTAAGAAAGATAGCACAACCTCATCTACAGAAGAGCAGGGTATGGAGCTAGTAGCATGAAAGGAAATTGTCCAGAATTGAACTAAATCCACTCACCTGCAGTCTCTTTCATCTTCATCAACACAAATGCTCCAATCTGACTTGGAGAATAGAGTTTTCCATGAGCCTCAACCCAGGCATCACCATTGGAGGCACGGACAATTTTAAAAGGAACATTTTTACTGAAAGACAAAAATTATGAGAAAACTGGCCAATGCAAACTACTGTAACAAACTTATCATACATCATGAATGGCTATTCTCCACCCTACAGAGACACTGCCAAGAGAATCACAAATGTGTAAAAACATCATCCTACTGAATTCTAAGTATTATTTCCCACCAATTTTGCAGCTACTTTGCAAGCAGCCTTGCAGGTTCCTTTAAGAATGAAAACTACCATATAACTCAGCATTTATCTCTGAAGGAGAGAAATGAAAATACCTTCACACAAAAATCCATATATGAATGGATATAGCAACATAATGTCCATCAACTGACAAATGAACAAAAAAAATGTATTTATCTGTGCAGAATACTATTTGGCCAGAAAAAGAAATGAAGTACTAACACACATTACAAGATAAACCTTGAACTATTAAGTTACCTAGAAAAAGCCTGTCCCCATGATTCATGTATATAGAATTCATATTATATTTATAACAAAGCAGTTTGTAAAAGGAAGTAAAAAAAAAAAAAAAAAAAAAAAAAAAAAAGGAAAATAACTCAACAGGAAAAAAATCTACCTGTGCTTGCTGTGCTTATATATTTCTTGTGGTGCTGGGGATTGAACCCAGGGCCTTGCATGTGTAGGCGAGTGCTCTACTGCTCAGCTGCAATCACCAGCCCTATTTCCAGTGTTTTAGAACATGAAACAAAGGAAAACCAAGTATTCTTTGTGTGTGTGTGTGTCCTGGGAATTAAACCCCGGACATTAAGCTTGCCAGGCAGGTGCTGTGCCACTGAGCTATATATATATATATATCTCAGGAAAATTAAGTATTCTTTTCTCTGTGTGTTATATACCTATGTATGATGGAAGTTTGCTATTATTTGTCTTACTCATGCAGCACTTCGAAGTCCAGAAATGCTTCACAAGCCTTATACATCATATCAACATATAGCAAAGACCTAATATATGAAAACAAAACGAGCCTTTAGGGAGATTTTTTTGGAGAAGTCTCACTATGTAGATCGTGGCTGGCCTATTACTTTCCTGCTTCAACCTCCCAAGTGCTGGGATTATAGGCACAAACCACCATGCACAGTTTTTTTCTTTTCCTTTAAATTAAAAGGAGTTACTCTTCTGGCAGGAGGATGGGTCCCCCCCAGGGTCAATACATAAAATGACTAAACCAAGACCCGGTTAAAAGTGCTTTAAAAAAAAAAAAAAAAGCTCTGGATGACCCTTATAAAGAACTTTCTGCTATTGACTCACATGTCTTTCTGTACTTCAGGGTCATCGTAACGTCGGCCAATGAGGCGCTTGGTGGCGTAGAAAGTATTGTTAGGGTTGGTGACAGCCTGTCGCTTTGCTGGCATGCCAACAAGTCGTTCCCCATCTGCTGTAAAGGCAACAACAGAAGGGGTGGTTCTGGCACCTTCAGCATTCTCCAGTACCTAAAATTCCCAATATAAGACAAAGAGTAAGATCCTAATCAGTGGCATCTTTTTAGCAGCTGTTTAAACAGAATCCAAATAACAAAATAAATGCTTCAGAAGAGCAATAATTAGCATGCTTTACTACAGCGAATGTTCACTGTTAATACTTACTATTGATATATTTAATGTATCTTAGTATTTTTAGTCTTTATTGTTACAGTCCAGCCCTAGCTCTTATGTTGAAACAATTCACAGTAACAAAACATTGTGACTAAAACTATTGATCAGGTTTTTCAACTCAGTGTTGGAAAAAGTATTTCCTTCCACATGGAGATTAAAATTTAAAATTAGTGGTGTCTACAAATTTCAGGCTTACTGAAAAAATGACAGAAAGCATAAAATAGAGCTAAAGGAGGGATTTTCTTGTTAATATCAAATACATGAGAAAACAGTCTTGGACACAGTTCAAGTCATTGTAGAGGGAAGCATCAGGGAAGGGAAGGCACAGATGTTCATGAATGGAAGAAGCAAGATTCTAGAACCCCAGGTGCTCTCAATCTTGCTAAAAACCCAGAGGGAATAAAGGTTTCACGTAGAGTAAGAAGGCTTCAGAATAAGTCTTTACCCAGAAAGAACTCTTAGATGTGGACTTCTGTTTGCTTCTGAACTGAACTTCTCATCTGGTTCAGGTGACTTATAAAAAACTACAAGACTCTGATTATACTCCAAGACATTCCAAGTCCTTGTAAAAGTCTCACCTCTATCCCAGGAGAACAAACTTAAGTCATACTATGGGATATCAAATCCATTCAATTATAGTGGTACCTTGGTCCACAAACTTAATTCCACAATGCTGGTTGCAAACTGAATTGGACAAGAAACAAATCAAATTTCTCATCAAGATCAACATTGAACCTAACCATTAAATTTGACTATTTCTCGGGGCTGAGGGTTTAGCTCAGCGGCATAAGCGCCTGCCTTGCAAGCAGGCAGTCGTGAGTTCGATCCCCGGTACCGATAAAAAGGAAAAAGACAAAAAAAAAAAAAAAAAAAAAAAAAAATTGACTATTTCTCATCCAATTCAGTTCATGACCAGAACCTTATAATTGTTTGTGAACCCAAGGTTACCACTATCATCAACAGTTTCACTTCACAAGTCCCAAGAAACCAAAACCAGGACAGGCATGGTGACGCATGCCTATACAGTACTGTGAATTCCAGCATTCTGGGAGGCAGAGGCAGGAGAAAAGCATTTCCCTTCTTTGCATGCTCTTGGGGTCTAAACTCAAGGTCTCCACTCTGAGCTATATCCCCAGGCCTTTCTTTTTTTTAATTTTTATCGGTACCAGGGATCGAACTCACAACCGCCTGCTTGCAAGGCAGGTGCTTCTGCCGCTGAGCTAAAATAAATCCCCAGCCCCCCCCCAGGGCTTTCTTGAGATATGGTCTTTTTAAATCACTTTGTTGCCCAGGCTGGGCTCAAACTTATGCCTCACACTCCCAGCAGATGTATACAATCACACTCAGATCAAGAGCAGTTATTAAAATGAAAATCAGACCTTAGAACCTCTTAACTAAGTTCAAATGCATATAATTCAGGTTGGGTATGAGGTCTGCCTAAGTGATTCAACGCTTCCAATCATACTTACCTTTGCTTGTTTACCCTCCATTACTGCTACACAGGAGTTAGTAGTACCCAAATCAATACCAACAACTGCACCCTTGATTGCCTCTGACCTGTAAGACATTTAAAATAATGCCATGGTTAAACGCTTTAATAGTGGTCTCCAGAAGGATAGAAGGCAATACATAAAATACTTGATATAGGGCATGTCAGTGGTAACATTACCTCATTATAATGGAATAGTTGTTAATCGTGTATGTAAAAACCACTACTTTGGAGTTTAGTAGGTATTCTGTCAAAGAAAATGAAGTTATACTTACGCATAACCTCTTCTAGAAACAAATCTAAATGCCTCATGGCTAAGGCCATTCCAGCCATCCTAAAAAAAGAAAAAAAAAAATTGCATTAGCCATCAATTACATTTGGGTCTGCCCCAATTTTTCTTAAGAAAACATGAAAATCTGAGTTTTGCTGCGCTGAGTAGCTCTGCTACCCAGCGGTCAATGAAAAACAGGAACTGAAAAAGCAAATGTTTTTCAAATGAACCAAAATTAAGTAAGTACTGAGTATATAAAATTCTCTTACATCACAACAGTATTTTTTAACCTTGACATTACTAATCTTGAGCCAGTTTTTGGAGTCTTGCCATGTTGCTTAGGCTGACAGCAAGCTTGTGATCTTTCTGCCTCAGTGTTCCAAGTAGCAGGGACTACAGGCACGCTTCCCTCCATGAAGATTTGAGGCAAGTATTTTGTGAAAGGCTATTCCGTGAGTTGTAAAATGCTTAGAAACAATCCTTCACTCTACACAACTAGAAGCCTATAGGCATCCCTTCTCAAGCTGTGACCAACTAGAGCTGCAAGACATTCCCCGGGGAGAAAAGTGTCCCCAGTGAAAATTGCAGGGTACTCCTCAACAGCAGTCCATAGGTTAACCTCAGTATATAAATACTTTCTCTGACTTTATGATGGAATTAAAGTAGTTACTAGCTTGGTTTGGTGGTGCAAGCCCATAATCTCAGTACTCTGGAGGCTGAGGCAGGAGAATCACCAAAGAGTTCGAGTCCATCCTGAACTACACGGTGAGTCACTGACTACAAAAATGAAAATAGTTGTTAACTTTGGGTACTTAGAAAAAAGTCTTAGTGGCTTTCTGCAAGTATAAAAGACCTTTTTAAAAAAAAAAAAAAAAAAAAAAAAAACCCAGGCCACTTTCAAGCCTTCAGTAAGATCCACATGAGTAGACAGTTTACATTCTCATTCTCCAAAGATGTTACCTTTACTTTAGATAAACGTCGCCACTCCACGATCTTTATTCTTCTTTAAACATACAAGAAACAATCTTACACCTAGGATTTTCAGATGTCCCTAATCACGAATATCTTAGTGGGAATTAGATTTTCGGCTTGTTAGGATGTTTCCTTCCTTTATCTCATCACAGTAACGGCATCCTTAAACTCTATGTTGATGAGAAAAGGAATCACTTTTAAGCTCAGGTAAAAAGGAAACCTAAAACAGTGACTTCCAATACACTGCATCGCTCTCCCCGTGGCCCAGTCGATCTAACCAGACACAGAACGGGCCGTCATTGCTGCTCCCTCTTAATTCGTTAACACTCCAAACCTCGAAGTGTGTGACTCAGCAGGTCCCAAGGCACAACCCTAAACAAGGCCTTCCGCTGGCAGCGCTAACCGCCATTCTCACCTTCCGATTTCTCCAGAGTCTGACCCTGAAGGAGCGGCCTGCCTCACTCAGGTCGGAGGCAGCAAAGCCCTTCAAGAAAGTCTGGCATTTCCTTACCTGATGGCGGGAGATCGTGCCTCGGGAAGCTGCAGCGCCTACGAGACGGGCTGCTGCGGCTCGGCTGGCGCTTATCATGGCGGCTAGACGAAGGAAATCAGGAGAAAGCGACACTCGTTTAGGGGGCCGTAAGCTGTTCGACGCTGTGGAGGTAACGATTCTGGAAACCTCTAACCACGTGGGGTGGAGGGGCGGGTACTCATCACTGCCGCCCAGAGGCCCGCTCTTCCGCTGAGGAGCCACCCGCGCGCCTGAGCAGAGACTACTTGACTGCAGCTCTCAAAAACACAGAGTGCGGATAATTTACTTTTCAAATGATTATTGAAAAAGCCTTGGTCTCTCATTCTATTCGTGGAGGCTGTGGGATCTGTGAGACGCGAAGAGGGGAACAGAAGTAAATTCAGGCAATACATAAGATAGGCCCGGTCCTTCGCAGCGGAAAGACTCAAGGTCACACGGGATAAACTGCGAATAGATTACAGTCTCCTTGCGTCAGTTGCGCGGGAGGAGGAGCCTATTGCGTTTGCGCAGATGGCACCTGACCAAAGTCCTGTGTCTAGCGTGCTCCGGGAGGAGCGGAAAACAGTGTTAAGAGACTACAACCTTCATTGGGTGTCCCGAAGCCCACGCGAATTTGGCTGGTCGTAGCTGGGGGCGAGCCATGGCGCCTCCTTACAACGCGCATGGACGTTTTCCGTGCTTCCGGCCTGCATAGAGGGCGCCATTTTGTTTGGGTCTGTTTTTTGCCGATGTCGAATCTAATGCTCATGCTAACGTTTGTTTATAATTTGAAGTATACTTGGATATGGAGACCGTAGAAATTTTGTCTTTTTTTTTTTCTTTCTTCCTTTTGTTCGTTCTTTTCGACAATTTTATGCAGCGTTTTACCAAAGGAGTTTCGGGTTTCCAGTCTTTAAAGCAGCGTCTTCACATACAGCTTTGAGTAGTTTTCGGGGTAACATTGGTCATAGATTACAGAGATTCTAAGAATTGAAACAACAGCCTCCATTCTCTTACATAAATATCAGCTATGGTTATCATCATTAGTCTGCTTGATATTTCCTCCCCAATTCCCTCAGGCCATCAAAATACAGGCTCATGACCCACTTCTAGAGATTTACCCTGATGCAAGAGCCCATAGAAATGACAAATACTATTACACGTTGGAACAAAATGGAAACATTACAGGTTTATTTTGTACGTGATAAGGGAGGAGGGCAGGGGAAAATAATTGAAGTAACTGCATTCTAGTTTTGCTCTGAAGAGTTGTGTTTGGAGGGAACAAAGGCGTGCTTTTTTTTTTTTTTCCTTGTTTCGTACACTGAAAAGCCACAGTATTAAAAGGATGCTGGAATCAAATGGTGTTACCTAAAGACCCTTTAGATTTAGTGTTCGAGACTCAGCCTGTGTCCCCTGCACACCGCAGGCTGAGGTAGGCGGATCCCAAATTTAAATCCAACCTAAAAGACTACCTAGAGAAACCCTGTAACAGCAAGTGACAGTTTCTTGGTAGTTTCTCCACATTCTTTGTAAATGCTCTCCTTGGCCACAAGGGGGATATGGTAGCTAAAGCATGAACCTGCAAAAGGTTTTTGCCAGTGAAAGACAAGCTTCTGGACTGCCTTGCAAATTAACATGGCTTACAGCCTGAAGGCTAGAAGAAATGAATCTGATTTTAAGAAAAAAGGGTTTAAATGAGACAGTGAGATCCACAGTTAAGTGGTATAGTTGTTCACTATGCCACAGAGTATTTCATTTCTCTGTTGGTATCTCAGTGTCACACTGGGAAATGAAAGGAGCTGGTGCATAATTTGTATGAGGGTAAATGTTTATCAGACTGAAGGGGTCCAATATCTAGGCATGCTATATTTTTAATGGTATCCTGGGTTTGTGGGTGTAGCTCAGTGGTACAGTGTGTTTAGTGCACACAAGGCCTTGGGTTTGGTCCCTCCCAAGATACTGTTCTAATATGATTATTTTAACATTTGAAGACAGGTAACCCTTTCAACTTTCAAGTATTTATTGGCCAATCATTAAAAGAAATTTTCATTAGAATAATCCCTAGTTGGGCGTGATGACACACTCCTGTAATCCCAGCATTTGGGAAACTGAGGCAAGAGGATTGTTGTGAGTTCAAGGCCAGCCTGGGCCAGGTAAGTGAGTTCAAGGATAGTTTGCACTACATAGCAAGACCTTGTCTCAAAAAAAGTAACTGCTAAGTGGCTCAAATGTCTTAAATGTTTTGTGTATATTATGTAATAGTCTCAAATACTGAATTTTTTTTTTGTCTTTTTCGTTTTTTATCAGTACCAGGGAATTGAACTCAGACCGCCTGCTTGCAAGGCAGGTGCTTATGCCGCTGAGCTAAATCCCCAGCCCCTAAATACTGAATTTTTTAGATATGAAGACTGAGGCTTACAGAAGTTAAATCTGTTGCCTGATGTTACTTAGCAATTTAATAAGGCCAGAATTTGAAGTCATCCTATATGACTCCAGAGCATACACTATTAATCACTAGATTCTACTTCTGCATATCTAAGCAGGATCATCTTTTCCCTCTGTGATCATAAATGTAGATGATGAGTTTATAATACTAGGCTAATCCATTAGTAACAGCAGTTATTTTAGGCAGCAGAATAAAAAATATTTAAAACTGTTTATATGTAGTTTAGGTTCCATGAAAACTATAGGGAAAATCCTGGGCTGAGGGTGTACCTCAGTGGTCAAGTACCTGCCTGGCAAAAAGAAGGCCCTGGGTTCAATTTCCAGCATTGCAAAACAACAACAGTAACAACAAAAATATTGGGGGAGAATTTAGTCTGTAATGTAACTCATAATTAAATTTATGGGCTTTTAAAAAATTTATATTTTTTTCAAATTTATATTTTAAAAGCAAAGTTTTAAAAAAAAACCCTGGTGACTCAGAAGATGTTTGATTCAATCTCTCTGAAGATGAATATCGTGCTGTGGCACCTTCCATTTTCAGGGAATAAAAATGTAGCATACTGCAGGGATTTGTCACTTTTGTTCGCCTTGGAATTTTTCATGTTCCTGCAGCAGATTTCAGGAGCAATTCCCACTTTTCCTATTTAGCATTAGCTTCACTATATTGGAGTGCATTACACGGTGTTGCTTCTCTCATGTCTGATGCAACAGAGCTTGCTAGGATGCAGAGTAGGAAATATTATATTAGATGATGTTTCTGTCCCCAGGGGTGGTGAAAATTAGCAGGTTTCATTCTATGCTGAATGCCTAGTAACCCAGACAACCTGCCTTCCGATAGGAGAAAAGAGAAACACAGGATGACCCTCAAAGAAAAGTCAGGCAGCATGAATCAAAATAAGATGTCACTTTAATTAGATAGGACATTTACATTCTAGTGATAATGCAGTCATATCGTGCAAGGTTAAAAAGCAGTCAGTTTTGCTCTAGGTTTTCATTTAGACATGGAAAATAGTTGGCTGTAAGACAGATCAAGGACCCAAAGAAGAAGCCCCTATTAGGGGAGAGAATGGGGCTGACAAGACTCAAGATTTGTTGTTCATAAAAATCTAATTTTTTAAAATTAAAAATCTAATTTTTAAGATTCCAAAGGCTTTTTTTTTTTTTTTTTTTGGCTTTTTGAGACAGTTTTGCTACATAGCTATGCATCCTTGAATTCATGATCCTCTTGCTTCAACCTCTTGAATGCTAGGATTATAGACATATGCTACCTCAGTAGGGTCTTTCTAAAATTTTTAGCTTATTGTGGCACTAGGGATTAGACTCAGGGCTTTTGTACTCAGCTATATTCCCAGTCCTTAAAATTTTTTTTGTATTTTTTTCTTGAGTTATGATCTCATTAAATCACTAAATTGCCCAGACTGGGCTTAAACATGTTACTTTTTTGCCTCAGCCTGCCATAGTGTTGGTATTATAGACAGCTAAAGTAGGTAGAAATACAGTATGCAGTCAAACAGGGATGGGCCCTCAAGGGAATCAGTGCCGGAGATGAGAATTCTGCAGGCCTGTGGCTGGAGGCACATCTTAAGGTTAAAGTCACAATGGCCAGGCTTACATGCTTCCCTAAGGGATAAAAGGAGGCCTGGGATTGTCAGTATCCCCTTTTGAGATTTCCCATTACCTCATTAGCATTGGACCATCCTTTCCTACTTACTAAGACTCAGACTAAGACTGCTAAAACTAAAAACAAGACTAAGACTATAAGGGCTGAGACTTAGCTCAGGGGCATAAAAGCACCTGCCTTGCAAGTGTGCAGTCATGAGTTTGATCCCCAGTACCAAAAAAAAAAAAGAAAGACTATATAAATTATTGACCACAGTTAATAGTGTCACCCATGTAGCCTTGCTACCATTAGATCAATATTAGCTACACTTAGAATCTTATTGGTTGATCATACTATTGGCCCATGTTGTATCTATCTCATGACTTTGCTCTATAATACTTCCTTTGAGAAGTGGGCTCTTTCGGGCCCTACTCAGGACCCCTCCTGTCTTTCAGGAGTTATTCCTATTCCCCATTGTCCCATTCGTGTTCCCCATTCCTTTTCTCCAATAAAATTTCCTACTTTTAAGGTCCATTGTTTCTTAGAATTCATTCTTTGACTTTGGGGGACATGAACTCAGCATATTTGACATCTAGCCTTTCCTCTATATCACTGAGATTTTAGACATGTGCCACCACATATAGCCATAATTTTTTTAGTCTGAATAACCAGAGTTTTCAATTATTCTTGACCAGCATGGTATAATGAAAAAAAATCCTTAAATGGGAGTTAAGCCGGAACTTGAGTTCTAGAAACACACAGTAGACCCAGAGAAAATTTAAAGACCAGAGAATCAAGTCCAGTGTTACACTAATAGTGTCAACTTCTCTGCAGCATCTGTGTGTGTGTGTGTGTGTGTGTGTGTGTGTGTCTATGGAGGGACAGTACTGGGACTGAACACAATGCCTTTGCAATGAGCTACATCTTCAGTCCTTATTTCAATGATGTTATGGAATAATCAAGAAATTTACTCACGGGACCCCAAGATTCAAGAAACAAGTGAGGTTTATTAAAACTGCAGTGGCCAGTCAGTTTAGGCCACTGAAATTGCTGGCTACTGGTTGGCTGGTGCTGATTTCTTTGTTTTCTTTCTTTTTTTTCTTTTTTTTATCGGTACTGAGAATTGAACTCACGACCACGTGCTTGCAAGGCAGGT